AAGCTCGTAAATAGAGCTTTAATATTTAGTATACTACCTATATCCCTATACTAGTGCCTCTAACTACCTAGACATTAAATCAATAAGTATTACAGTATATATAAATGAACTAGGATGAGGTTAAAGGTTATACCTAATAACGAAAATATAAGTAAAAGTAAAGAGCTAAACTAAGTATAGTTCTAGAGGAGAAAAAGCAATCCTTTATAAATATAGGGACCCTTAGTACCTATCGGTTACTATTACCGTTACTCTTATAGGTATATAGGGTTAGAGCTGCTCTAGCTAATTAATAAGGAGCCTATTCTGATATTTAGTAAATGAGAGTAGATACTCTAGACATAGATATACCTAAAGGTAGATCCTCTAGTCCTATAGTAGAGTCTATATATAAACTGTTATATAGTTTATTATATAACTAACCTTATTATAACTATACTAGGCTATTATACTATCCCCTCTCTAAAAGAAGAGAGTTATATCCTTATAACTTATACCTTCTTTATAATTATATCGGTCCTTCTTTTATCTATAACTCTAGAAAGTTATCTTCTAGATAATCTTCTTTATCTAGTTCCTTAAGGTATGCCTTTTCCTATTATACTAGTTGTTTCGGAGGGTCTACTACCTCTAGGAACTCCTTATAGAACTTCCGAACTACTATTAAGGTATTTTTATAGTTTCCTACTAGGTACTAGACCAGATCCTCGTTAGAGGCTATCTATATAGCTATATACTCTAGCTTCCCTCTTATTAATCGAGAGCCTATCAGTTTTTCCACTTAGTATTCCAGCTCTCTATCGATTTCCTCTAACAGTAATAGGGTAGGAACTTACTTTAGGAGTAGGTTACTCGGAGCCTTCTTTAGTTTATTAGGTAAGAAGACCGGATATATTATCTAGATATCGGATAGGTTTAAGAGATAGGAAGCTCCTTTCTTAGCTAAGATCTTAAACAGCTTTAAGACTAGAAAGTCCAGCTTATTACTTAGTTAATTTATTTACTAGTTTCCCTTAATAACTATAGTATAATTACCGGGCCTATAAGGCTATACCTATCTAGAACCTTGGAACTGAGACCTATTGCCTACTGATTAACCTCTATCTCAATAAGAGGCTCATAGCCTTCGAGGACTATATATAGATATTAGAGGAAGCGAAGCTAATCCGCTAGGTCCCAGCAACTATTATAGCGATACTGAGAAGGAGGTATAGAGGTAGGAGAGGGAGGCTCTAGCAGGAGGTAGGTAAAGCAGCAGAGGCCCTAATAGAGAAGGGGTCCGGTAAGTAGAGAAAGAGGTAGGTACTGGAATAGGCCCCCCTTAAGTTAAGGTTAGAGGAGATGGTATTGGAACTAGAGGAGAGTAAGGTAGTACCGAACTATAGAAAGTAACTTAAAGGTTAGATAGAGGAGATGATAAGGAGGGAGTAGATAGGATATTAGAAAGGAGAGGTAGCTATAGCTACTGCTAGAAACCTATAGAGAGCCTTTAAGCTAGCCGATATAACTATATAGTTTAATATATCGGTAATAGGCTGCTATAGGTTAAGGGATTTAGAATAGGGTCTTTTAAAGGTAAGGAGTAGTCTCTTTATATAGGTAAAGACTAGAAAGATTAGACTAAAGATATTTCTTTTTCTATAGAAAGTTCTAGATATAGTAATACCGCTATACCGTTATAGTAAGGTTAAGGAGATATTTAAATATCTGGTTCTAGACTATAGTAGGGTTATAGAGAGGCTCTAGCTATAGTTTAATAACTATAAAAAGCTATTAGAATAGCTAGATATTATTAATAAGATAGACTGAATATTTAGGTAGATATTAGACTTTAATTAGCTTAATAAGTTCTAATTAGTATTAGAGCTAGAGAGAGAAGTAATAGAGGAGTATATAGATAATATTAATATAGAGTAGTAAAGGAGTATAAGAGAATTAAAGTATATTTATAGATAATAATATAGTAGGGGGAAATATTTTATTTAACTAGGATTCCCTAATATAGGACTATAAAGGGCCTATAATAGGGAGCTCTAATACTAATTTATATATATATACTACCTCTCTCTATCTCTTTCTCTACCTCTACTTCTTATTTTCCTTCTCCTCTTTAATATCTACTTTAATACCCTCTTCTCTGGCCTCTACTATACTATCCTTATAAACCTATATCTAAGAGGGGAGGGTATCTTTATCCTCTTTCTTCTTTAGAGATATACTATTTAGATAGGCATTAAAGGTATTTTTAATATAAACCTTTATAAAGTTGTTAAAGCTAGAGCCCTAGAGTAGATATATCTAGAGGCTAGTTAGTAGAGATATTATAGAGGATTAGAAGAGAGTTAGTAGAGAGCCTATCTAGGCTATAATCCTAGGGATAAAGTAGATAAGCTTTTTATTAGTAGTTATAAGCCTCTTATTAGTAGCTTTAGCTATATTAAGCTCTAGTATTAAAGAGTTGAAGATTATATTAACCTTGTTAAATCGGTTAAAGATAGACTATAGATTAGCTATAGTAATACTATTAAAGGGAATAGATAAGTAAGTAGTAGAACCGATAGAACCAGTAATAATATCTATCTTATTTAGAGGATACTATTATAGATAGTCCTATATAGAGATATTAAAGACTATAGGAAAGGTAATATCTAGGCTAAAGATTTAAAAATATATAGTATCTATAGTAAGGGGATCCTTATTATATATAGTATATTAATATTAGATAATATAGGTCTATAGAAATATAGAGTAGTAGGTATAAAAGTACTCTATAAAGGGGGTATAGAGGTTCTTCTTTAATAGTATACTATATACCTCCTTCTAAATCTCAATACTATTAATGAGAATTAAGAAAGTAAAGAACTTATATATAGTAAGGGTATTAGAGAGATATATTTCGGTCTTCTAGCCTTTATAATATAAGCTATAGAAGTAAATAGTAGAGATCTAGTTATCTATAATAGGTTAGTAGCAGTATTATAATAGGCCTATAGAGGGAGATTAGAGCTTATACTTAACTATATATATATATAGAATAGCCGCTTTGATAGAGTATTTAATATCCTCTATATTACTATAGAGAGGGTACTATTTAGATAAACTAATATTATAGTATAAATAAATAGTAGTATAGAAAATACTAGAAATAGTTAGTAGTAATAGTATAACTATCCTTTAGAGAACTTATATAATCCTTGATATTATAGGACTAGATTACTTTCTTAAACTTTTAGTTATACTATAATGTAGCGGTAGAGCTGTAGTAAAGATATAGGGGTTTTCGTCCAGCTTCAGTATAGTTTTTCCTACCAATATACTTGTTAAAGGACTGTATATACTTAGTACTAAGCGTAATAAGAGTAATAATAATAATAATATATTAAGTTATATTAATCTAGAGCTTTAAAATAAAAAGCTATTTATTAACCTATATTCTAATAAGAAACCACTTACCTTTAAAAACTATATTAGAATATTAAGTAATGTAAAACTAATATTTTAAGTTCTTACTACTATTACTAGAATCTTAAAGAGGAGATATAGAGGAGAGAGAGGGAAGCTCTAATAGATAGTAGCTAAGATAATACTAGCTTTAGCTGAAAAGAGGTTAAATAAATAGAAGAAGAGATATATATAGAAATAGGCTACTTATAAATTGAGACTAGAAGAAAGAGTACTAGAGCTAGAGCTAGATAAGCTGGTACTGAGCTGTAAAAAGTAGTTTAAAAGCTAGATAGGGAAAGTAATAAAGAGAGAATAGATAGAATATTAAGAAAAGGAAATGGTTAGAGCTATTACTAGAAGCCTATAGAAGGTTTCTAAGTAGCTAATATAACTATATAACTTAATATATCTATTATAGTCAATTATAGGTTAAAGGATTAGATATAGAACCTATTAAAAGTAAAAGATAACCTCTTTATATAAGTAAGAATAGTAAAGATTAAACTAAGGGTATTTCACTTTATATAGTAAGTCTCTAATATACTAATGCTACTATACTAAAGTGGGTGTCAATAAGTGTTATTACATTACAATCTTGGCACCTACCTACACCACCACCCACACCCATTCCAACAGCCACAACTCGGTCAAAATAACTGTAATTTGCTAGCTAAATATAGGAAAATGAAGCTCTTAAACAGGGCTTCAATATTTGGTATACCACCTACGTGCCCGCACTAGGGCCTCCAACCGCCTAGGCATTGAATCGATAAGGCCGTCGATAAACCCCTGCGGTACCCTCTCCTATACAACCTTCAGGGTATCCTCTATAACTGCAGTATTTATGTCGTCGTTTTTCAGGAGGTATAGGTCCGGGAAGTCCCGATATAAAATACCTTTTATAGCCTTCTAAATGTGCTTAATGGGGTTAAGGTCTAGGCTGTAAGGAGGGTAGTCTTGAACCTAGATACCCTAGCTCTCTAGCTATTCTTTTATCTTTACAACTATATATACCCTAGTATTATCTTGTAAAAAAAAGGTACTAGGCCGGTAAAACAGTTTAAGGCCTTCCTCTAGGGCCTAAATATAACTGTTAGCTAAGTAGCCCTAGCGTTTAGCTTAGAGGTCCCTAGTTATAATAACTAGTAGGGACCTCCCCCCTTTCTAGATATACCCCTATACTATAATTGTAATCTCGGCTTTAATGTAGGCCTAGATATTAACTAGGGCTTTGTTATATTTATCCTTAGGCCTTCGAAAAGCCTAGCTATTTAGAGTATATAGTACTATTTAGACCGAAGATTTATCTAAGTAGGCCCCCTAAAAAAAAGCTATTAGTAGAGCCTATTAATACTATTTATACTAGATAGGATACCTTAAAAACTACTATATCTTTTCCTTATAGAGCTTTTCTATAGGTAAGCTAGGTAGCTGCTTTTTTAGAATCGAAGGTAATCCGTTTAATTAACTACTATTTACAACGAAATTCTGGACTAAAGACTTAATAGAGGGTATTATAAGAGACCCTAGAGGCCCCCCCCCTTACAGAGGGCTACCTAACAGATAATCAGCCTTTGTTTAATCAGCCTAGTAATATATCTAACTTCTATAGCTATAGGCTTTACTGGCCGGCTACTCCAAAGGAGGGATTCAACTGTTTGGTAGGTGTTGAAGCGTTTAACTGTACAGGTAATAGTCGCTTCGCTGCATCGGAAATTGTATGCCAGAACTTTTCGTATAACCCCGAGTTTTCGGCCCGTAATAATAGAGGCCCTCTCTTCTTTTGTAAGCTCCCGTCGGTTGCCCGATATAGACCGGATATTAGGCGACAATTCTATCCTGAAAGCTCGCATTTTGGATTGAAATTGACGAAGTTGTAGTAGTTGGAAGAAGATAGGTGGAAAATGGAGCACGCGATGCGCGACGCGTTCTGTGGGGGAGGTGGGGAAATGTGACAACACTTTCTGACACCCACTTTATTATAGTATAATTTAGGAGATATTTGAATATCTAGTACTAGAGTATAGCAAGACCGTTAAAAGGCTCTAACCCTAGCTAGATAACCTAAAGGAGCTATTAGAGTAGTTTGATACTGCTAAGAAGGTTGCTAGGATAATAGGGTAGGTTCTAGACCTAAGGAGGCTAAATAAGTTCCGATTTATACTAGAGCTAGAGAGAGAGGTAGCTCAAAAATAGAGAGCTAAATATAAAGTAGAGTAATAGAGAAAGGTAGCTATAGGATACTAGAGACTATATTTATAAAAGGATAATATAATTAGAAGGAATATCTTACTAGATTAAATATTTTAACTAGAGGATGCTATTATAATATTATAGTAATATTATATTAGAAACCTATAGTTTTAACCTCTCGTTTATATATCTCTCTATAGCTATCCTACTACTTGTCCTTTATCTTAATATCCTCTTCCTCTATAATATATATTTCAATATTTTCCCCATCTACTACTATAGTAATACCCTTATAGACCAGACCTACTTTAAAGTGGTTAAAGTATCCCTTTTCTTATCCTTTATAATATATATAGAAGGAAAGAGGGGTATATACTATTTAGGTAGGTACTGAAGTAGTTCTAGGTATAGACCTTTATAAAGCTATTAAACTTATAATTTTAAACTAGGTATATCTAAAGATTAGTTATTAGAGGTACTATAGTAGAGTAGTAGAGATTCTATCTAGACTATAACTATAGAAACAAATTAGATAAACTTCTAGTTAATAGTTAGAAGCTACTAGTTAATAGTTTAGATAGTAGTAAACTCTTATATTAGAGAAATAATGGTTCTATTAAACTTGTTAAAGTAGTTAAAGATAGGCTATAGATTAACTATAGTAATACTGTTAAGAGAGGTAATGAAAGGAGTAGTTGAACCGGTATTAGTAACTACCTTATCTAGTAGATACTATTATAGATAGTTCTCTATAGAGAGGCTAGAGATTATAGGAAATATAATATCTAAACTAAAGGATCAGAGATAAATAAATAATATATATAATAAGAGGATCTTTATTACATAGCATATACTATTATTAGATAGGATATATCTAGAGGAATATTGAGTAATAAAAACAGGAGTATTTTATAGAAAGAGAGTAGAGGGTCTACTTTAATAGAGTATTATATATTTCTTTCTAGGCCTTCTAGATATCGATAAAGGTTAGGAAGGTAAAGGATTTATATATAGAAAGGTTGAATATAGCCAGAGTATTGGAGAGGTATATCTTAGCTTTTTACCCTATGTAATATAGGCTATAGAAGTAGATAGTAGAAGTCTAGTTATTTATAGTAGGTTAATAGTAGTATTATAATGCATCTATAGAAGGGGATTAGAATATATATTTCATTATATATATATAGAATAGCTGTTTTAATAGTAAGTTTAATATCCTTTATATTATTAAAACAAAGGATATTATATAGATAGACTAATATTATAATAGAGGTAAACAATATTATAAAAGGTATTAAAGATAGTTAATAGTAATATTGAGATTCAGGTAGGTAAGGCTCTATAGTACACACACTAACAGGGCTTACAATATAATAGTAATAATAATATTAAATATTAGAGTAAAGTAAAACACTTATAATAATATATTATTGAAAAGGTTTAAATAACTCAGTTACTATCTAGGATAATATAGAAAGAGTATAGTAGAATTATTAGAAAGATACTATAAACTTCGATATTAAGAATAGAATAGTTACTATTAAAGTAGTTCTAGAAGTATTAGAAGCTTTAGAAGATAAAGAGTATATTAAACATTATTTACTACTTTTAATAATACTCTAAATAATTGTTAAAGGTTTAGTAAACCTTAAAGGAGCCTATACTTCTAACTCGTAATAACCTCTTATAGAAGTACTTAAAATGCTGTAAGAATATAATCTAATACGTTAAGTAATTTACAATTACCTAATAATTAAACAGTAACCTATTCTAGATCTCTGAAATTAGAATAAAGTATATATAAAAGGGATTTCTTTAATATAATAAACTTTGTGGTTTTACAAAACTATTAGTTAAATAAGGACTTATATAGTAATAGTATTAATTTACTATATTTATAGGTTCCTCTAAAGCTATTAATATATTCAAATATAAAAGAAGCACTATTTGTTAAATATTAGTTAAAGTATTAAGGAGTAGTACTATATATACTATATGTATATAACTAAACCTTAAATACACTACTAGACTTATAGGTTATTTGAAACACTTCTAATTATATAGTATATCTTAACTAGAATTACTATAAGCTTTATAGTTAATTCTTTAATTATAACTAGGTTATATAGAGTTAACTTAAATATACTTCGAGATATTATTAACTAATATAATATCTCTAATAGTACTTTACACTATATACCTACTTAAGCTACCTAATTTCAGTAAGGTTAGGAGTATACTGTACTAGAATTACTATAATTATACCATTTGAACAGGCCTTAATACATTAGAAATAAAGATATCTATAAAGTAGTATTAATAGTAGAAGATATAGAAAAAGCAGGTAGTTATAGCTAAACTGTTAGAAATAGTTAAAGAAAAGTAGTAAAATATAAATATAGAGGAGATATAGCTTATAGAGCTAGTAATTGTAGTAGGTAACTATAGAATATAATAAGTACTTTCTAGAGTACTAGGTCTAGAAGGTTAGCTATACTATATTGAGAAGATTAGTAGTTTAATAAATATAAGGAACTTTACTAGTATAGAGGGCTATAATTATAAGCTAAACTTGCTATTCTTTTTAAGTTTCTATAGCTATTTAACAGGTAATTATAAAATCCCTACTATTAGAACTACTTAGAATAATAGTAAAGGTAAAGGAAAACTAACTAGTTCAGAGATAACTATTTTCGAAGCTCTATAAAGAGATAGCTTAAAGGGTTAAGGTTAGTAGAGGTTAAGGTTATTAAAAGATATAGCTTAAATAGGTATATAGGCTATACCCCTATTAGGGATATTATAAAGATATCCTAGCTCTTTACTATTTATATAATAATAATTAAAGTCTAATACCTTAGCAAACCCTTTTGCTAGGGCATTAACCTTAACTATAATAATATATTACATAGCTATAGTAATATTAATTATTTTATATATCTATTGCTTTAATATCTAGAACTTAATTCCTAACTTCTAATAGATTCTCTAACTTATAAAATAGTATAAGTATTAAATAAGTAAGGTTAGAAATAGTATCTTAAAATTATCTATTAATAGTATATATAGCATTACTTTAAAGATACTACTTCTATAGTAAAGTAGCAATATACCTCAAAACTATATACACCACTAAATACTTGCTGTAGGTTATATACTATTCGTATATTGTAATGTCAATGTTGTATAAGCAAGGAATTGGCTCAGAGAATAATCTTCAATACTACAGATCCTACAACTATAGAATCAATATATCTGTATATATAGCCTTCTGGTTAGAAGGCTGCGGTTACAATTACCGTAAAAAGAAGTTACTTTAATAACTGTAGAAAAAGAAATAGAATTGTATACTCTGTAAACTCTAAATATAATATTACTTAATACTAAGCTAGCTAGAGCTACTATTATAGCTAAAAAGTCTTAGTAATACTAAAAGTAAGTAATACTCCTTAGATACCTCTATATAGAGGAGGGCTATCTTCCTTACCCTAAGAAAGTTATAAAAATCTGTAAGTAGACTACCAATAAGAATATTAACTATATCTAAGTCTTTATAGGTATAGTTAGGTACTACTAGATTTAGATCTAAGGCTTTGCTATTATCGCTATACCGCTATATAGTCTAATAAAAAGGACTCTAATTGGTTATAGAGGGAGCTAGAGCAAACTACTATAGATAAGCTCCGATAGATAATTACTAAAGTACTAGTCTTAGCGATATTTATATTCGGTAACCCTTAATATAGTATGGTTTTCCTTATAGTGGATACTAGCTTTAAAGGATATAGTACTATTATCGAATAAGTTAGTTCTAATGGAAAATACTATCTATACCGGTTTAAGAGTAGAATCTAGTCTTCTACTAAAAGGAGATACAATATAACCAAATGTAAGCTTAGAGGATTAGTCTATATATTTAGATAATTCTACTAATATCTATTCGGAGTTTATTTTATAGTTAAAATAGATACCCTAATCCTAGTTTACCAATTAAAGGGTATTATAAGCAATATTCTAGGAGCTCTTATAATAAGATAGATTATATAGATCTAACTATTTAACTTAGAGGTTAAGTATATTCCTAGCTTAAAGAAATCTATAGCTAATATATTTTATAAAAACCTCTAGGTCTATCTAATTAGAGAGAGAAGGCTATTAAAGAATATATTAATAACTAGATAGATATATAAATCTATACTATCCGAATCTCGGTACTAGCTCAGAACCTCCAGCCACTTCCTAGGGAAGGGTATTTAGAATATTTATAGGAGATTACTAAGTATATTATAAGAATGGCCGAACCTATATATATCGAACTATAGTACCGTTACTAGTTTAAGAAGGAGGTATTTAAATACTTCTATAAAAACAGCTACCTATTTCTCTATACTAAAGTAGGAGAAGGGTAGTAAGTTATCGATAATAAATAAGACTAGGGATATACTTTCAATACCTATTATAATAAAATAGGATACTAAGGATATAATACTACCTACTAGTATATTATATAGTATTACTATTAGAAGGGTATATATATTAATGTTATAGACTGGATCTATATATACCTAGAGTGCTAGGCCTATAATGTAAAGTATTTCTAGGAGGTTACTAGATAGACTTACCCTTTGCTATAACTAACAGTAAAATAGTACCTAGATAT